TAGATCCTTGATTGTCCATGGCTAAGACACCATTATGGTCAAAGGCACTAACATTATTACTAGAGTGGGCGTTTTCGGAAGAAGAAGGATTGTCGTTCTTCTTTCCTTTCCAGCCACCGTGGTTACTATTGTTAGTAGCTTTTTGTTTTGCGAGGTCATCTTCGATTTCAATTTCGATGTCATAAACGGCCTTGAAAGTATTCATATTGTGTTGATATTTTAAATGCTTCAAATACTTCTCTTGGAGATTCTTGATAAAAATCCTCACAGATTCTTTTTTAGTGGGCACCTCAATCATTTTACCGGAAGTTTCCCTCCATTTATTAAAGAAATAAGTAAAGCATTCATTCTCTTTTTGTCTTATCATCTCAAGTTGTCTATAATCAGTTTCAACTTGAATATTGCACTTGTACCTATCAATGAAAGCGTTCACTATTGACTCCCAAGTAGAGGTTCTCTCTTTGTCAAGGGAGAAGAACCATTGTTGGCAAACGGTTTCAAGAGATAGAGAAAATATAGAGGGACACACTTTCTTATCAATACCCTTAATACTCATTATTGTTTCAAAAGCTCTTAGATGAAAATAAGGGTTGTCAGTTGCCTTGAATTTCGGGATGTCGTTGGCATTGAACTTCTGCGGAAGAAGATCTTTGTCAACCGAGACCCCTTGTGAGCTAATTCCTCGAAACTTGTAGTCACTAGACAACTTGCTCAAACTTTCTTGCATGAGGTCGATCTGTTGTTGCTTCATAGGGTCATTGATTTTGAGGGTTAAAACCTTCAATGCCTCAGTCAGGGTAGTCAATTGATTATATTCTTAAGTTCGTTAACTTCTTCTTGAGTTGCCATTATCTTTTTAGCTTTCCTCTTTTGAAGAATCGGTTTATCTAAAAGTAATACTTGAATAAAGGTGTTGTCCTTGATTAATCGCCCTTCTCTCCTTGACCAAGTACTGTGGAAAGGGAAATTAGGGATATTCATTGTTAATTATTTGACTCAAACTCTATTCAACATGCAAGTATGGAAGAAGGTAGGAAGAATGAAGGTTGTGATGTGAAGAAAGATAATGTTGATGGAGAGATATGAAAAATTAGGAGTAGAATGTACCCCCAACTCGAACGACGGAAAAAACCAACTCATGCATGAACCTAAGACATGGTCATGGAGACATAAAAAGTGTTTGTTAAGACTAGTGAGTCTAGTGATTGTAGGTGACATTATAAGACTCGTATCATGACCAGGTGGCTAGACTATGTGACTAGACTCAAACAAAGACTAAGTTAAGACCTCACATATATGCATTAAAATGGACAGACTGTGGTATTTTAGTCATAAGTTCTGATATGTGAATCTGATTGGGATGAAACCAACGCCAAATTTAAGAAAAAACTCTGGGCTACAGATCCATAGGTTGAGTCATAGTTATTCTTAGAACTCCATCTATGACGTAAACAAGTTGACGCTTGTGCAGTATACGGGAATAAAAATCCGGGTTGACTTAAAGGAGCTATGACTCGATTTTAGGTATATTTATTAGCTCAAATTAATTAATTAATTAATTAAGCAAATTCCTTTGATCATTAATTATTTTATTAAGACTTAATCACAAGTAAAACCAAATGGTTAGGAAAAAAAACATAGAGTATGCACAAGCAAAGAATGCACAAGTAGTCAAATAGTCACAATATGATGCAATGAGTTTGCAACCTAACCATGGCTCTAGTTCTATAAAGTTCGGGTTATGGGTTAATCAATAGAGGGTCCATGGTTAATTTTCCAGATGCACCGCGCGGAAGCCTAACTGTGAAGGGTTGGCGCGAGTGGATGGGACACCGCGAATTTAGAAAAACTCGCTTCCATTGTTTGGTGAATTCGACATTCTCGGATGTACCCTTTGTTTCTTAGAGCGTTCAATCAGGTAGATGGAGCATGAATTCCCAAAGGGTTATGTCCATATGTAGAACACATATGGTTTTCGGAAAAGTGAGAAAAACTCAATCAGGAAGTAGGATCGAGCAAACAGTGCTAAAAACTGGTCAAAATTAGAACGCATATTTCTGGCTCGGTATTGGAAGAACTTAGGGCCAACAAACAGAGGCCAGCGCCATAATTTGGCTTTAGCGCCTGGCAATAGAAGCTGTCGTCTGGAATTAGCGTCAAATTGTTGGCGCTAAACTTTATTCGTTGACGCTAGTTCCTACATGCCTCAGCAGCTCTCTGTGCTCGATAAAATTTTCCAATTTCGCGCAGCATTATTGCGATCCTAGTTGTGAAAGATATTCCTCAAATTTCCTACGTGTAAAAATCCTATATTTTAACTCATTACGGATAGTCTTTCTAATGAGATCTTTTTTATGCATATGACAATAATGTTAATCAAAATTACGCACATGAAATACTTAGAACTTTTCGAGTCTCATCCACTCATTCTAAATCATTGCCGAAATAAATTTAAGGAATTAAAATAGAAATCCTCCCCAGCGGAGTCGCCAAAAACTGTAGGGAATATTTCAAGCATTACCCTAAACTTGAACCCCACTTTGATCATACACTAAAGTACGGTGGCGTCCAAAGGGAAGGAAGCTAGAGCAAAAGAGACGCCAACAAGTTTTAGGAACTTGTAAATCGTTCATGAGGTGAAGGTTACACCTCTTAACGATCCAAGAGATCGTTAACTCCAATTGGTCTTGAACCATGAGTGGTAGTTCGGGATGAAGGTACAAATCTAACCTAAAAGAGATTGAACCTGCCCTAATAATAGGCCTCTACTTTATTCTGATCGTATTCATGTGCACTTTCTAACTAACATGCAATCAATAGGATTAAACCTAAACCTGTTTATCTATGTTGGTTGAATATTAATGCACAAATAAAACTATTATTGGCGATTACTTGAATTATAATCAAATTAACCTTAAACAAGATTATTAATTATCTTATTAAGCGTGATTACAATTACAAATTCCCTTTAAACATGCATAAAAGGCGTGATCAAGCAATAACAATAATATATATCAAGCAACAAAATAATAATGATAAATAAAAATTATAAAAATAATCGTAATCATAATTAATACAATAATCATCATAATAATAATTATAATAATCATAATAATAATAATCATGTTAAAGCATAATAATAGCAAGACCCTAGGCATGATACTAACAAGATTAATAACAAACCCTAGCATGTCACTAAAAATTAAAAAATCAAATCTTTAACCCTAACCTGATACTAACATGAATATTAGGAAGAAAATAGGAAGCATCGCAGGAAACACAATTGTCATATTTGATATCAGAAAGTATAGTTGTTACCCTAAACATGGTACTAGGAATTTATTATTGTCACCCTAAACATCAAATTAAGGAAAACATCCTAACATGATACTAGGAATCATGATAACAACCTAAGCATGATTTCTACATAATAACATCAATAAAAACCATTAAAATACTTACTTGGATGCCTCGTATCTCTTTCTAATAACAAAATACACACGTTAGTAACTTCAAGGTAAATATTAAACAACAATTAAATTAAATAATTGAAATAGAGATTTGGGACCAAACCCACAGAAATTAAAACCTTTCACGTCTAGGGCGAAGGCAACTTCGAACTTGGCTATAGGTGTGTCTTGTGCTAACGTATGAAGAATTGTGTATGAAAAAGCTAGTTTAGAAAAGAGAGAGAGAGTTGGTGATTCTTGATAAGAGTTGGTGATTGAAAACGGGGAGACATGACCTCTATTTATAGAGAAAAATGAGGGTCGAAGAATAAGAAGAGAATCCGAATTCGAATCGAAATAGAACTCGATGGACAGTAGTTTTTTCGGATTTTGTTTTTATCATATCTTTTGATCAAGAAGTCGTTGGAAATATCTAGAAGTCTACTTTCCAACCCTATTAGAATTACATTAAAATCTTTTGTATATAAAAAGATATGGCCGAAAAAGTGGGATGATGTCAATTTTGGATAGAGTTTCATATCTAATTCATATCTTTTTCGTTGTAGATCGGATTTAATATTATAATATATCATTGGAAAGATAATTTCAAGATCTATCCAACCATATAAAAATTTTGATCAAGATTATGAGGAACGAAAATAAAATCTGACTGTCTTTGAACATATTTTAATTCGAATAGAATTAAGATTTAAGAAAAGGAAAGTTTTTAAAAAAGGAAAGTTTTTATTTAACTCAAATTCTTTAATCTTATCTTTTCAAAAAGGATAATTAAGATCTTTTAGAAACTTATAGAAGATTATAATTAATCCTAATTAGTTTAGGAATAGGATTAAACCTTTGGACCCTCCCCATGATCATTGGGTCGTAGGTAAATCCGGTTGTAGCCCAGTTTAGTATTTTGGCCATAACTTCCTCATTATTCATTGGAATCGGGCTTATAATATATCGTTGGAAAGGTCTTTTCAAACCCCATCCAACTACACTATTATTGGACCCATATTATTGACCAAACTAAACTGGAATGTACATTTTTCATAAATAAGGTAAGAAAAGAAATATTTTCAAAAATAGAAAGAATAGATATTTTAATAAAAACATCCTCATCACTAGACTTTTCACACTTTCTCTTTGTTCCATAATCAAATGACATGAAAGTTATTCATCACTGGGTTTAATAAAAACATCTAGAGAAACTGACTCAGGACTCTCTAACCCGAGACTCCCAACTACTTCCTTAAAAATAAAAGAATGCGACACCCCTAAATCAAACAAGACTATCACAGGAGAAGAACTTATAAAGAAAACACCAATTACCACATTATTAGCAGACTTAGCCTGCCAACTATTCATCACGAACACATGACCCTTTGGGGCACCTCCCGCACCGCTACTGGTTCCAACCTTGGTTGTATGTCCACTACATTGATGTGGTTTACTAGGTTCACTAGACTCTTTCACCTTACCAGACTTAACATCAACTTCCTTCTTGAAACACTCATACTCACGGTGTCCCAACTTCTGACATTAACATCAAGTTACCGGGTTTCCCTCACAGTCCTTCCCTGGGTGGTCTTTCTCACACCTCTTGCAGAAATACTTCCTCTTGGGCTTCTCACCCATTTGGTTCCCATTCCCTTTATGGTTGGATGATTGTCCCCCATTCCCCTTCCCAAAGTTCCCCTTGTTGTCCCTCCTATCTTCAGAATTCCCTTGGTAATTTCCATTAGTCTTTTGCCTCTTTTCACCCCCGTGAAAAGACTCTGGGTTCTTCCTTTTCTCTCCCACCTGCTCCATCTCCCTCCCCTTAATTCCGTAGAGATGGGCTGCACGGCCATAAACTTCATCTAGGGTCTGAAAATTCACTCCCCCTAGCTTCCCTTGGAGGGTCAAGGTTAGGCCTTGCTCAAATCTTTGAGCCTTAATGGTTTCAGTAGGGACTACTTCCGAGGCAAACCTCATCAACTCAATGAACTTGTTGTAGTATTCACTAATTGGCATGTTTTCCATTCTTAGGTTGGTAAACTCCATACACTTCTGCTTTCTAAGGTAGGAAAGGTAAAACTTCTCTCTCAAGGCTTTCTTAAACTCATCCCACCCAAACTTTGGTCTTTTCAGCAACTCATCTTTTCTTTGGGCCCACCATAAATCAGCTTCCTCCCTCAAGTAGTAAACCCCATTGTTCACCCTCAGCTCACTTGGGCAATTGATAGCATCAAACAACTTGTCAAACTCCCTAATCCAGTTTTTAAGGCTGGCTGGGTCCTCTTTTCCCAAGTAAACAGGTGGTTTAGCTGCAGCTACCCTCTTAAAGAATTCACTATAGGCATCAAGCTCAGAATTTCGGTGTTCCATGTTCACCACCTTTGTGATCTTCTCAGTAATACGGGTTAACTACTTAAGGACCTTTCCAATTTGGAACCAATGCGCTTACTCCTTAAATGTTCCCTCATTCTTGGAGACATAATTTCTGGGTATGTTATTACACATGGAAATTAAAACATGTTCTACTCATACAAGCATTTAATTCACTAAATAACATAGAGAAATTTCAAATAATTCATTTTATTTCATTAATAATTGATGAAAATACAACTTTGTCACTTAGGACAAAATTATTGAAACATGAAACAAAAACATAGTTAAAAAACAATCAAATAACACTATGGGCATAACCATCTTCAATAGGATCATAATCCGGATCATCACTTCTATTGCTTGGTTCGGCCATGAGAGTTAGGTTATAACCACTATAGCTTGGAATAAGGCCTGATGAGCTTGACCTAGATTTACTTATATTTCTGTCTAGGGCAGGAGTGTAACTTGGGCTTTTTGTTGGACTTACATCCCCACAAGGTTGGCTTGAAGAAGCTTTGGAGTTTTGGGCTCTTTCTTTTACAGTTTGAGAACGAGTTCTGGGCCTTTTTGCAACATGGAAATGGGCTTTTGGGCTAGGTTGTTTGGAAGATTCATAGCTTGGAGTTTGGCTAAGAGAACGATAATGTTTGCTCATACCAAGAGGTGGTACGGACTCATCACTAGATTCCACATACTCATATCGCATCTTTGGGTATGAAAAAGGTACTTGGGCATTTAAGAAGTACATTTGGTCATTAGGTCCAAAGGTGAGGTCTTTTGGGATCGTGGGAATTTTCACAACTTTCCTCTTAGGTTCATACTTGCGCTCCACATAGTGCAAGTCCCTCTTAAAACTAGACATGGTTGCTAACCACTTCCCTTCATGATGATGCTTCTCATTCCACATTGTTCCATCTTCCTTGATCACATCCCCATATTTGTCAAAAAGAGGTTGGTATTTCTTAATCCTAGGGAAATGGGCCAAGGCTAGAAGAACCATCCGAGGTTGTTGGGTTAAGGCTTCCTTACCATTCTTCTCATAAAGGGTCAAGGCCAAAGTACAAATTCCAGTTATGAAATCACTAACTGTGACTCCACTATCTTTCAAGTAATGAATGTCAAAATATTGGTGTTTCATTGCATCAATCATTTTCATTTGTTTCACACATACATGCAAAAAAATTAATTAAGTGTCAAATCACACAAACAATCAAATTCAAAATCCATTTGCAATAAGCAATTCATAACTCAACAAAAAATAACTCAAGATTACCCGACCATGGGTAATAACTCAAAAATTCGGACCTCTAGACCACTCTCTAAGGTGTTTTAACACCAACTTTAATGCACACGTAATCGCATACTCAAGTTTCAAACATTTCAATTCTTTTTATTTTCGAAAATAATAAATATGTACTTGAATCAAGATTAAAGGACGGTCGAGCCCGCATCTCCCAGGAAAGTTGCCTATGACGTTGAGGCGAGTCTTTCCTAGACAGAGAGTCGTACCCATTATAGGCCTCCGTAGAGAACTCAAGAATCCTTTTCTCCTTCATCTTTCCACAAATAAGAAAATAGTTTTTTTTTTTTAAGTAAAAGTAAGGCTTTTAACTCACACACAGATGCGAAACTCTATCTATCCTATATTCCCTCTTAAGTCTACCCACAATTTTAATTACTACTCCAATTTTAATCTCTTAGGACCTTGAAAACTGATACCAATTTGTGAAAATCTGATACCACTTTGTGAAGCTCTGATACCACTGTGTAACACCCCCAAATCTCCCTCTACGGAAATACTAGTATAATATGTATAATTATACCGTGGAGATAAACTTAGGCGTATTATCGCCGCGTGATTACGCAAGGCTACTCAACTTACTAAAAATAACAATACTTTGCAGCAGAAACTTCAATACTCTTCTTTATTAATAATAACCATAATAGTAACAAATGTTATGATTACTCCAAATAGATGCAAGACCAAATTCCTAATTTAGTGAAAACCAATCCCGGGACTCCAATACATCATTTATTGACTCCAACCTAAAAATAAGCAACACTGCTTACTTTTACAGTAAACAGGGCAAACCAAAACAAATATGAAGTACGAGTTAGCAAAATATGCTAAGTACGATATGTGCGAGATAATTAAACTCAATTTATTCGCAAACATGCTTTAAAACCAATTTTTAATAAATAAGCCAATAGTTCCAAACTCATGGTTTAAAACCAATTCTCAGTAATTCTAATATCAATAATCAATAAAACCAACTCCAATTATTTAAAAACCGATTCCTCATATTAAAACCAATTCCTCTCTCAAGTGTGCACACCCCCCAAGCTAGTCTCCTGATGTTACAAGGCTATTCTTGAGGAAAGACCCGGTCATGCAAAGTCCAAGGCCTTATCAATAAACCAAATCCACATAGTGTGATTACCAACATGCTCATAAAGCACAAATAATAATAAATCCATGACTCAATAAATCATCTTTTAAATCCGATAATTCAACCTTTAATAATAATAATTCAAACTTCTTTTTAATAAATTCAACATGCTTTTAAAATCAATCCTTTTTAAACTTGAATAATAAATTAAGTAATCAAAACATGTTATAAAAATCAATACTCCAATTTAATTATTAAAACCAATCCTTTAAACATACTTTTAATTCATATACCATAATTCAATTCAATTTAATTCATTTCATCATAAAAGCATTCAAACATGTTATTCAAATCGATCACTTTCAAGGTATCTATCCACCTAACGTACCTTGATCTTCACTTAGCCAACAACAATTCAAAAGAACTCTCAAGTATCTTGATCAAAAACACCCTACAAATAAATATAACCTTAATCAATATAAGGTTAACAAATAATCACAAATAATTAAATTAAACCCTCCCAACTATATGTACATGAACATCTTAAATTAATTCGACATGAACATTATTAAAATTTGATTTTATATAATTAAAACTACTCATAATAATTTCATATTAATCTCCCATAATAATAAAAATAAAATTTGAATAAAAGAAAAGTAGAAGAAAAGAATTGGATTTGCATAGGAAATAATAGGCAGAACTTTCAGAGGCTATAAATCCTTCGATATAGCTCTGAATTTGGTGATTCTTGAGCCTAAACTCATGGATTGTTTGAGAGGAACAACTTTATGTGAAACGTCACTACCCCAAAAACTGACTAGAAGTGCCCGAAAATTGGCTTCAAAGATGTACGGGATGATTTATGTAAAATTGAGGAGAAGAAAAGAAGAAAATTGGTGTGAAGAATGTGAGGGGTATGAAGGGGTATTTATAGGCTAGTATGAGCATGAATTATGGTAGGAAAATGTAGGAAGAATTATGGTAATTAGGGTTTAAGAGATTACTTGGAGAAGTGAGCAAAGATTTAAGGAAAGTTTTGATATTTGAAGGGATTGTGTATAATTGAATATGGAAGGTATGTATGTCATGAAAAATATTAAGGAAATTGGGATTCCTTGGGGAATAATTAAGAAGAATGAATTGCAAGAAAATATAATAATTGGATATCAAAAAGATGGAGAATTAGAATTATGGAAAATAGGAGATTTTAGGGAGATAATTAAAAATACAAATTACCAAAATATTTTCCCAAAATCTTTATGGGATGGCCGAAATTATTGAGCTTTCCCAAGCTCATATTTTCGGCTTTCCTATTTAGTATTTAGGAATATATTTTGCTAGTTTAAAGGAATAAAATTAATTGTGTAAATAATATTTATTGTAATAAATAATTAAATGACAAAATACCAAATATTCACCAAATAATTTAACTAAATAAAAATCAGATTTTCACATAGGAAAATCCTAATTTATTAGCTAATTAATTGGGATATTCGGACCTATTAAAATAATAATAAAATATAGATTTTGCCTTAATTAAAATATCTGAAATATAAATAATCCAGTTTTTAAAATAGGATAAATGGATAATAAATCTTATCCAAAATAATGATTAGTTTTCAAAATGCTTTTGGCGCCAAAATTCTAATATCATTTTGGCTCCAAGATTTAAATAGAAAGTTGAATTACTAAAATACCCTTTTTAGAAAATAATAATTAATTAGGAAAATACGTATTAAAATACGGGGTATTACAGTCTACCCCCCTTAAAATAAGTTTCGACCCGAAACTTAGCCAAAAGAAACGAAAATCATTTTGAAATTATTGGTTCATGCACATCCTAACTTGACTCAAGTCTCCAACTAAACTTAAATAAGATTCGAAATCACTAAAAAAATGACTTAAAAAGTAGACGCGCGAAACTCTATCGCCCTCTACCCCCCTTAAAAGGAGTTACGCCCCCATAACTCGACCACTAACCTTAGGCAAACAGTTCTGGGTAACGTCTCCTCATATCAGCCTCAGCTTCCCATGTAGCCTCTTTAGTGTTCTGATTTGACCACAATACTTTCACAATGCTCACATCCTTGTTCCTTGTGGTCCTGACCTTAGAGTCAAGAATCTTTATTGGTCTTTCCTCATAAGTCAAATTCTCATCCATCTCAATTGTTTCTGGTTGTAACACATGTGTCACATCAGGAATATACTTTCGGATTTGGCTCACATGGAACACATTGTGAACCCTTTCAAGCTCGTTAGGCAAATCCAACTTATAAGCCACTTTTCCCACTTTCTGAATGATCTCATAAGACCCTATGTACTTTGGGCTTAATTTCCCCTTCTTCCCGAACCTTATCACACCTTTCATGGGTGAAATTTTTAACAAAACCTTTTCTCCTACTTCGTATTCCTCTTCCCTCCTTTTTCAGATCAACATAACTCTTTTGTCGATCTTGGGCCGCTTTAATCTTTTCTTGGATCAACTTAACCTGCTTCACCATATTCTCAATCATCTCAAGTCCAAGAACCATAGTCTCACTTATATCATTCCAACATATTGGACTTCTACACTTTCGACCATACAAAGCTTCAAACGGTGCCATCCCAATGCTTACATGGTAATTGTTGTTATAAGAGAACTCTATCAAATCCAAGTGGTCTGAATCGTTCTTTCTGTCTAACCATCTGTCGCAGGATGAAATGTTGTGCTCATTAAAAACATAGTTCCCATCGCCTTTTGCAAACTTTGCCAAAAGTTAGACAAAAATCTTGAATCTCTATCCGAAATGATATCCGTGGGTACCCTATGGTACTTCACCACAAACTTCACATAAGCTCTTCCTAACTGATCCATGGTCCAATTACTTCTCATGGGTATGAACGCTGCTGACTTCGTCAACCTGTCCACTATCACCCAAATAGTGTCATTTCCTGCCTTGGTCTTTGGCAAAGCTCCCACAAAATCCATAGAAATTGAATCCCATTTCCACTTGGGCACCTCCAAGGATTGGACCTTTTCTTGAGGCCTGCGATGCTCAATCTTCACCTTCTGGCATGTCAAACACTTAGTCACAAATTCAGCCACTTCTCTCTTCATATTGGGCCACCAAAATATCTTCTTCATGTCCTTATACAACTTATCCCCTCCAGGATGCATTGAATAGGGAGAATTATGGGCTTCTTCCATCAATCTTTGCTTCAAATCACCACGATTCTGCGGTATACACCATCTTCCCTTAAAACGAATACTTCCCTCATCACCAATGGTGAAATCCAACACTTACCCTTTATCAATCTTCTTCTTTATTGCTTTCAACTTTTCATCTTCCAATTGGCTATCCCTTATCTCATCATAAATGGATGTTTGAACCACCAAGGCATTCAACATCCTTGCCACTCCGCCATGTTCCATCACCTCCAAGTTCAACTTCTGAAATTCCACACACAACTGATCTGGGACTACCATCACATTCATCGTATGTTCTGACTTTCTACTCAAAGCATCTGCCACCACATTAGCCTTTCCTTCATGATATTGAATATCCAATGTATAATCACTCATATACTCCAACCATCGTCTCTGTCTCCCATTAAAGTGCGTCTGGGTGAAAATGTACTTCAAACTCTTATGATCCGTGAAAATCCTACAAGTAATGTCTCCAAATTTTCAAAGCAAACACAATTACAGCTAACTCCAAATCATGGGTCGGGTAATTCCCTTCGTGAACCTTCAACTGCCTCGAGGCATACGCAATCTCCCTTCGATTCTGCATCAACACACATCCCAATCCCAACCTCGATGCATCACTATACACGTCATATAGATCACTCCCATCTGGCAAAGCCAGCACAGGTGCTGTGGTCAACCTTTCTTTCAAGATCTTAAATGCCTCCTCACACTCTTGGGTCCATGAGAACTTATGCTCCTTCTTCATCATACTTTTCATGGGCTTCACGATCCTTGAAAAATCCTTCACAAACCTTCTGTAATAGCCTGCTAAACCCAAGAAACTCCTTACATCCGACACATTCTTTGGGGTTGGCCAATCACTCACAGCTCGAATCTTGCTTGGGTCCACTGAAACTCCGTCCTTGGAAATCACATGGCCTAAAAATGCTACTTTTTCCAACCAAAACTCACACTTAGACAACTTGGCATACAACTGATGCTTTCTTAAACATGACAGCCTTGTCTCAAATGCTCCTTATGCTCTTCTTCATCCTTTGAATATATCAAAATATCATCAATAAACACCACTACAAACTTGTCCAAGTATGGCCTGAAAATCCTATGCATCAAGTCCATGAACACTACAGGTGCATTGGTCAAACCAAATGGCATAACTGTTAACTCAAAATGACCATAACGGGTCCTGAAAGCACTCTTTGCAATATCTTGCTCCGCAATTCACAACTGGTGATAACCCGATCTCAAATCTATCTCTGAGAATACCCCTGCTCCTTTCAACTGGTTAAACAAATCATAGATCCTTGGTAATGGATGCTTATTCTTCACTGTCACCTTGCATTGTTCAACTCTCGATAATCTATACACAACCTCATACTTCCATCTTTCTTCTTCACAAACAATACTGGAGCTCCCTAGGGTAATGAACTAGGCCTAATATAACCTTTCTCCAACAAATCATCCAACTGGGTCTTCAACTCCCTCAACTCAGCTGGAGCCATCCTATATGGAGCCTTAGAAATAGGTCCAGTTCCAGGCACTAGATCGATAGTGAACTCAACATCCCTCACTGGTGGCATACTAGGAATCTCATTCGGAAACACATCTGGAAACTCTTCTACAACAAGGATACCCTCTACACCTTTCTTTTCCTCACTTTCAACCTCTTGAACACTACACAAAAACAAAGGACAACCCTTCTTAACCAGCTTCTATAGTTGCATTGCAGACACAATTCTCAACCCCCAACTTTTCCCTTCCTTTTTATACACTACTTTGGTCTTACTTGGGCTAGTCAAGGTGACCTTTTCAGCCGCACAATCAATTTTTGCTTCATACTTTCCCAACCAATCCATACCTAGAATCACATCAAAGTCATTCAAGTCAAACTCGATCAAAAAACCCTGAAACTCAACCCCAGAGATAGAAATAAGCACACTAAAAAACAATCTCGAACAACTCCTCACTTCCCCAGACGTAATAGACACATCTAGAGAAACTGACTAATGACTCTCCAACACGAGACTCCTAACTACTTCCTTAGAAATAAAAGAATGCAACGCCCCTAAATCCAACAAGACTTTTACAGGAGAAGAACTTATAAAGCAAACACTAATTACCACATCATTAGCAGACTCAGCCTGCCGACTATTCATCACGAACACACGACCCTTTGGGGCACCTCCCGCACCGCTACTGGTTCCAGCCTTGGTTGTAGGTCCACTAGATTGAGGTGGTTTACTAGGTGCACTAGACTCTTTCACCTTACCAGACTTAACATCAGCTTCCTTTTTGAAACACTCATACTCACGGTGTCCCAACTTCTGACAGTAACGACAAGTTACCGGGTTTTCCTCACAGTCCTTTCCTGGGTGGTCTTTCTCACACCTCTTGCAGAAATACTTCCTCTTGGGCTTCTCACCCATTTGGTTCCTATTCCCTTTATGGTTGGATGTCTGCCCCCCATTCCTCTTCCCAAAGTTCCCCTTGTTGTCCCTCCTATCTCCAGAATTCCCTTGGTAATTTCCATTAGTCTTGTGCCTCTTTTCACCCCCGTGAAAAGACTCTGGGTTCTTCCTCTTCTTTCCCACCTCCTCCATCTCCCTCCCCTTAATTCTGTACAGATGGGCTGCACGGTCATAGACTTCATCTAGGGTCTCAAAAGTCACTTCCCCTAGCTTCCCTTGGAGGGTCAAGGTTAGCCTTGCTCAAATCTTTGAGCCTTAATTGTTTCAGTACGGACTACTTCCGGGGCAAACCTCACTCAATGAACTTGTTGTAGTATTCACTGATTGACATGTTTCCTATTCTTAGGTTGGTAAACTCCAAACACTTCTGCTTTCTAAGGTAGGAAGGGTAAAACATCTCTCTCAAGGCTTCCATAAACTCATCCCACCCAAAGTTTGGTCTTTTCAGCAACTCATCCTTTCTTTGGGCCTACCATAAGTCAGCTTCCTCTCTCAAGTAGTAAAACTCAATGTTCACCCTCAGCTCACTTGGGCAATTAATAGCATCAAACATCTTTTCAAACTCCGTAATCCAGTTTTCAAGGCTGCATGGGTCCTCTTTTCCCAAGTAAACAGGTGGTTTAGCTGCAGCTACCCTCTTAAAGACTTCACTATAGGCATCAAGCTCAGGATTTCGGTGTTCCCGGTTCACCACCTTCGTGATGTTCTCAGTAATACGGGTTAACTGCTTAGGGACCTTTCCAACTTTGGAACTAGTGCGCTTACTCCTTAAATGTTCCCTCATTCTTGGAGACAAAATTCCTGGGTATGATTATTACACTTGGAAATCAAAACAAGTTCTACTCATACAAGCATTTAATTCACTTAATAACATAGAGAAATTTCAAATAATTCATTTTATTTCATTAATAATTAATGAAAATATAACTTTGTCACTTAGGACAATTATTGAAACATGAAACAAAAACACAGTTAAAAAACAATCAAATAACACAATGGGCATAACCACCTTCAATAGGATCATAATCCGAATCATCACTTCTATTGCTTGGTTCGGCCATGAGAGTTGGGTTATAACCACTATAGCTTGGAATAAGGCCTGATGAGCTTGACCCAGATTTACTTATATTTTTGTCTGGGGCAGGAGTGTAACTTGGGCTTTTTGTTGGACTTACATCCCCACAAGGTTGGCTTGAAGAAGCTTTGGGGTTTTGGGCTCTTTCTTTTGCATTTTGAGAACGAATTCTGGGCCTTTTTGCAAAATGGAAATGGGCTTTTGGGCTAGGTTGTTTGGAATATTCATAGCTTGGAGTTTGGCTAAGAGAACGATAATGTTTTCTCCTACCAAGAGATGGTACGGACTCATCACTAGATTCCACATACTCATGTCGCTTCTTTGGGTATGAAAAAGGTACTTGGGCATTTAAGAAGTACATTTGGTCATTAGGTCCAAAGGTGTGGTCTTTTGGGATCGTGGGAATTTTCACAACTTTCCTCTTAGGTTCATACTTGCGCTCCACATAGTGCAAGTCCCTCTTAAAACTAGAAATGGTTGTTAACCACTTCCCTTCATGATGGTGCTTCTCATTCCACATTGTTCCATCTTCCTTGATCACATCCCAATATTTGTCAAAAAGAGGTTGGTATTTCCTAATTTTAAGTAAATGGGCCAAGGCTAGAAGAACCATCCAAGGTTGTTGGGTCAAGGCTTCCTTACCATTCTTCTCATAAAGGGTCAAGGCCAAAGTCCAAATTCCAGTTATGAAATCACTAACTATGACTCTACTATCTTTCAAGTAATGAATGTCAAAATATTGGTGTCTCATTGCATCAATCATTTTCATCTATTTCACACATACATTCAAAACAATTACTTAAGTGTCAAATCACACAAACAATCCAATTCAAAATCCATTTGCAATAAGCAATTCATAACTCAACCAAACATAACTCAAGATTACCCAACCATGGATAATAACTCAAAAATTCGGACCTCTATACCACACTCTAAGGTGTTTTAACACCAACTTTAATGCACACATAATCGCATACTCAAGTTTCAAACAATTTCAATTCTTTTTATTTTCGAAAATAATAGATATGTACTTGAATCAAGATTAAAGGACGGTCGAGCCCGCATCTCCCAGGAAAGTTGCCTACGACGTTGAGGCGAGCCTTTCCTAGACAGAGAGTCATACCCATTATAGGCCTCCATAGAGAACTCAAGAATCCTTTTCTCCTTCATCTTTCCACAAATAAGAAAATAGTTTTTTTAAAAGTAAAAGTAAGGATTTTGACTCACACACAGATGCGAAACTCTATCTATCCTATATGCCCTCTTAAGTCTACCCATAATTTTAATTACTACTCCAATTTTAATCTTTTTAGGACCTTGAAAACTGATACCACTTTATGAAAATCTAATACCACTTTGTGAAGCTCTGATACCACTTTATAACACCCCTAAATCTCCCTCTATGGAAATACTAGTATAATACGTAT